GCGTGTAAGTGCGCGCAACGCGCTGTATCTCCCGTCTCACGTGTAAAAAAGAACAACACAAGGGTGGTAGATCGTGGAGCGTACGCGTTATCTGCCGCTGGTTACGCAGGTGCACATGACTGCGCACGCGTGATGCAGCATCATACCACGCGCTGGATGTGTCATACGGTAGACGGCCGCGGAAGTTGTCACGCAGCATACAACCGCTGCCACGCACGACACGCGTATACACACAGTGCGTACGGGCTCGGGCGTTAGCACCGTGCACCTTACACTGGGCGTGCAGCCGCCACATACCAGCCGCGTGACCGTGTACGCGTACACGCGTCTGACGCACTACACTACATGCTGCACGGTAGCACTCGCACCTTGTGAGGGTGAATAAAGCACACATAAGGCTGATGTTTTGATGCAATTTAATAATACGAAAAGCGCATTCGGATGCCAAGAAGTGTATAGTGTTGTGCGCATTGCAAATCCTTGTCACTTTGATGTAATTGCTGATTCCCAAATTTCATCACTTTGGTCGACGAGCAGTCGCGCGAGCAGATTTCGTGCCTATGCTAATATAGCATGAACTTGTTCGCTCGCCGTCGCTCGTCGGCCGTAATAAGTACCTTTGCACGATCTTGCATTCAATCGACGGTGCGAGTGCGGCTGAAGTCGTGAGAGAGTCACAGTCTAGCGAGAGTGTGCGAGAGCGACTGGTGCGCGAGTATATCGCGGCCTCCGGATTCCGCGATACTACTAAATTGTATCATGAAATGGGCCTCGCGCGTTGGTCACCCATGCACCGTTTCAGCTGCGCAAGATAATTTCAATTCGCGTCGTTCCTCATCACGCTCAACAGGCCCGGCAGAAACCTGCGGACCTCTATCATAATAAATATCTAATAAAATATTGATTTATTAAATAAATCATGCGTAGATACTGAGATCTACTGAAGAAAACTGCATAATATAGCTTGCTGAAGAAGAGAGAGAGAGAGAGAGAGAGAGAGAGAGAGAGAGAGAGAGAGAGCAGAGAGAGAGAGCAAGAAAGAGAGGAGAGAAGAAAGACGAGAGAGAGACGGAGAGAGAGAAGGGTAAGAGACTGAGAGAAACGGAAGGCGGTAGGGATATCACGCTGAGCGGCCGTAAAAGCAAGCAGCGAGCGTTGTAGCGAGGGGACAAGTGGGGCAAGGGATAAGGTCGGGGTGAAGTAGGCTGTTTTGGCACATCGCTAGCAAGTTTATAGGCGCGCGCTCCTAATGGACAATTGACGTCAACGGTACCGTCGTAAGTAATCGATTGCGTGTACGTGCACGCATGTGTGTATGTGCGCGCACGCGTGTACGTGCACGCGTGTACGTGGGCGCATGTGTGTATACGCGTGTACGTGCGGGCATGCGTGTATGTGCGTGAACGCGCGCGTGTACGTGCACACACGCGTGTATGTGTGCGCACGCGTGCGGTCATGTGCATCTGTGTACGGCAGATACGTACGCTCACGTACACCTGTTGTACACGTGACGGGGAAGGTACACGCGTGCGCGCACGTACACGCGCACGTGCACATGAGGAAGGCGGCTTCACGAGCATGGACAAATCCAATGGGAAACCCCTCCAGTAATCCACTGCCCTCGTGGCATCCCAACTATGTGACTGTGACGAGTCTTTGCGCCTGTGCGTGCGATAGGCCTACCTCAAGAATTTGTCATGCAATAATGTCTATAATCCATAGCACCACGCGTACGCTCGCGGTCGACACTGACAGCTCGATCGAGTTGGCCAACTCGCAGTCGTCAGTGTAAACGCGCTGCACAGTTCATAGAACGGTTGATAAAGCGTTGGGAAGTTGGTCCAATTCGCCAACACAAAGTTGGCAGTGTAAACCCAGCTTTACTAAGCTTACTTTTATGGCTTAAAAGGCTTTTATGGCTTTTATTACTTTTATGGCTTTTAAGCTTACTTTTACTTTAGTAAGCTTTACTTTTATGGACACGCATACTTATAGAAGTATAATAACGAGAAATGTATAAAGTATTTAAGTAAATTCCTCGTAATACTGGGGAGCGATGACTAACGAAGTTTGATATAAATTGAAACCTCGACTATTTGCGTCCTATAGACTGACCTTCAGTATCGCCGAGAGCTACTCCACTGTCGTTTGGTTCAAGTTTGAACCCCGCTGGGTGTAATTCTGCCATGATTCTGTATATGACCCGTTTAGTCAAAGATGTGGATGGCGTTAAAAAATCATATCTGCCTAGTAATTAGACGCGTTTAGTCTAATTATAAGTTAAGTTATAAGCATAGATACCATATAACACGCCGTATGTTATAGGACATGTTATAGGCCCTACTCGGTTGTGTAACTGTAAGAAATAGCGCTGGTTTTCTTACATTGCCTATTTATGTTCTAAAACATTCACGCGCCGTAGCATTGTTTATCACATCACAATGGAGGACGCGTAGCTAGGCGCATCTATGACATGACATGCATAGTATAAAACCATGAGGCAAATAATAGTAAAATTAGAATTTTTAAAAGTGTAATAATAGTATGAATAAAGGTAAAGTGCCTATATTAATGAACCTTCACATTATTAGTCGACGCCATTATTTACAAGCTGTGAAACAGATTCGCATCGAGCCCGTATTTCAGTATGGGTAAATCTTTTTCATCAGAAGGTGGATGTCTAGTGCAGCTGATACGTTGGATCCAGCCAACATATATTAGTCTGGAGGGGCGAATCCAGGATTTGTATTGAAGAAGGGGGCGTTCTGCGAGCATGTGAATCCCGTGGCATGGGGTTCGGAACTTTGGATGCCATCCCGGGGAATTTCTTTTGATGATTATAATATGATTGGCTATCCGCACATAGACTCTGTACTGTATGAACGCAATCATGTCACACAAACACCTTAAGTTCTTTTAGAATATTTCACTTTAAAATAAATTATGTACATTAATATACAAACTAGTGCACAGAATTGAATATGCCAAAGGAGGGATAATCAGTGCGTTGGTGAACACATAAACATATGTCTAGAACTTCTGTGTCATCATTATATTAAATAAATCTAGGCATGAAAAACTTATTGAACTGCCAGTAGCTTCTACGGTATGTTACAGTTTGTTGCTTAGTTCCAGTATGGTGAAGATGTTGATATTAGATAACTGTAGAGATGTAAATCTTTATTTCATTAAATACACTGTAATACGTGTAACAGTTAAAAACAAATCGTAATCTTTTTTGCAGAGCGTTTTCCCAATAGAGCTGTTCAGAAAACTATTTTATTAGGTATTTTGCGAGACGAAGAGAGTTATAAAAATCCACAGTCAGTGAGAGTCTATCTTACACATGTGAATACTTTCGCCCACAAAACCAGTATCAGGTCACAATATCGTCAACGTCGTTGTCGTCGTCGTCGTCGTCGTCGCAGCAAGCAGTGCAGACAGCATCAGCGGGATTGCTCCGCCAGGGGGTGCGCGTGCGGCGTGGTTACAGAGGTCGTAGTCGCAGATGTGGCAGCCATGTTGGCTAGCTTCGCAGCGACGCGCCGACCCGAGGAATATAGGTGGCGCTGGGATAGTCGCTCCGAGACACGCGCGTACTGTGTCTGAAACACGCAATGATAGCTGTTGGTATATTTCACACATTAGCTATAACCGTAAGCTCGTGTATGGCCGTGTGAGAAATATATGCTCTGTCCTCCACTCTCTCTCTCTCTCTCTCTCTCTCTCTCTCTCTCTCTCTCTCTCT